CAAAATCGATTTGCTGACCCGACAGACCTTGGCTCGGACCTATGAATTCGCACAATCGACACCGAGGTGGATCGTGGAACTCTGCCGACGGGGATTACAGTCGCGATCAAAGCAGCTCGAAGCCGGCGCATCAGAACGCGGAACAGGGTGGATTAGGGTGGGAACGAATTGGACCGAACTGAGTCTGATACCAGATGTAACGACAGAGGTAGCTACGATAGTTCTATTTAGGATTCAACAGTCTAGTGACCGGATCGAGAGGTCGCGGAAATGGAGGTCGCCGGCTTTCTCGAGCCATGACTTCGCCGCCTAAGTCCGGCGCCAACCAAGACGAATGAACTAGCTTTTCCCATTCCCTTTTCTACTCTCGGCCTTACAACACGCCAGAACAATGAGCTCACCCGATCTGTAGGGCCTTCTTTGGTCACCCATTCTGGGCCAGCATATCTTGTACTGGGCCTCCTCTCCCTCTTCAGCTTTGGGCTTCTCAGGCTTGGCGACTTGTCAGCGGGCCGGACCGTGACATATGTCTGCGTAGCATTGAGGCACAACTTGTGTCTCCATTGATCCATCGAGCTCTTTCTTGATGGCTTGATGCCTGATCATCTCGTTGAGTTCATTTATTTGTGGATATATACAATCTCAAAACTAGGTCCTCCTTGATCTCTTGATGATGATGGACTGACCCTCCGGCGCAAGTGCAACAATGGAATAAGCATGGGAAAGCCTCTTATACTCGGTGGCCGCATTTGGCAGAGATCCAGATGCTTTCAGTTTTTTCTTAGAAACATTTCTTTTTTATCGGCGGTGAATTACAATCGCTCTCTCAGGTTGTTTGGCTAGCAGCAGGTGGCTGGATTCTGATCTTGAAGGGTGACAAAAATCATTGTTTGAAAAACGGGTGAATGGCCCGATCGTGAAAAACAAACAAAAATCATTGTTTTACGTGGAGAAAATCATAAAACTAGATAAAAATGGTAAATTTATTTATGAGTGAAGAACAATTCAAAAGCGACCAATCGATCAATGTTAGTTGGTTATACTCGAAGAGGATCACTAGAAATTTTTCTAGAGTAGAAGGTTGTTTTGACCTTTTAAAAAATATTTTTTTTACAGGAGAAAAAAAAACTTTCTTGGTAACAGATGTGCTGGGCATACAGGTTTGATTGGGCCTTTCAGAGATTCATTTGGGCTTTCTATGGGCATTGCAACACAAAGTCAGCCACTAGGCTGGGAACGGAAGCAAAAAGAGAAGGAAGCATCGGCCCGCCAGCTCCGCCCGCCGTGGATTGCACGCTGCGGCCGCGGGGCTGCGCGATTAGGGTTTGGCCGGGCCGCCCGCCGCCCCCTCCGCCTCTCGCTTCTCTCCTCTCCGTCGCACGCGGCAGTAGCGACCCCGCGTCACGGCGCCCATGGCGAAGCGCCCGCGCCACGCCGGCAACGGCGCAGGCCGCTCCCAGCTGTCGTCCTTAGAGTGGGAACTCCACCGCCGCATACTCAACGGCGGCCTAGCCCGCCGCGGCGCCTCCGCCGAGGACGTCGCCAACACCCTCCGCATCCACCACCCGAAGCTCGGCCGCCATAAGCACGGCCCCTTCGTCGCCTGCGTCCGCCGCGCTCTCGCCTCCATCCCCATCCCCTCCCCCTCCTCCCCTTCCTCCTCTGACTCCTCCTCCGACGACGGCTCCTCCGCCTCCCGCCGCCGCCACGACGCCCACGCCACCACCTCCTCCTCCACCTCCGTCTCCGACGCCGCCGCCCACCCGTCGCCACCAGCCCCCACCTTCGACCTCACCAACTCCATTATCCGCTCCAACTACGCCGCGCAGACGGCCAAGCGGAACCAGCAGCTGGAGATCGAGGTCACCGCAGAGAAGCCGCGCCGCCTCATCACGGCCGACGGCGGTGGCGGCGGCGACGCCAAGCCGGAGGCCGCCCTGGCTGCTGCTGAAGGGTTCGGCAGAGGGGACAAGGGGCCGAGGTTCGCTGACCTCGGCGGGATGGAGGCGGTGATCGAGGAGCTCATGATGGAGGTGGTCGTGCCTCTGTGCCATCCTGAGCTGCCGCACCGACTTGGCGTCAGGCCTGTCGCCGGGCTGCTGCTGCACGGACCGCCTGGTTGCGGAAAGACCACCCTTGCCCATGCCATTGCCAACGAGACTGGCTTGCCGTTCTATAAGATCTCCGCACCGGAAGTCGTATCTGGGGTGTCTGGTATGCTTTCTGATTCCTTGCATCAAAATAATGAGGGAGAAAGCTTGATGCTTTGCTCGTGTTGAGTATTTGGACAAATGAGTTTAAGCTGCTAGTCATGTTTGATTATGAATATGTGTGCTGCCTGTGCCCTTTTGCTTGATTAGATGTCATCAGTGCAGGCTGTAAAATTAATGGTGCTGTTTACCTTGCAAGATGTGTATAATACTAAATGTAGCTGTCGCTGTGGGAGATTGGTGTTCCTAATATTTTGCACAATCTAGGAATTGATGAAATAGGATGAGCTCTGTTTAGGCATTGTCAATACTCAATATCTGGACAAGTTTTTCCTAATATCAGTGTAGTGTTCAATAGGCCAATAGTATGTTGTTACTAACAAGGCACTACCATATGTTAAACCTGGTTAACCATCATGAAATCAGAATCATGCTAAATAGGTGCTGAAAAATTCAGATGTGACTATGTGAGGATATATTTCGAAGATCTGGTATTGATCCAGCTTTGCTGCCACCCTTATGACTTAGCCAACAAATGTGAGGATACATATTCTCTTTTTGTGGATAAACATTCACTCGTGCACAAGGATAAATTCAAATTCTCTGTCAGAATTCATGCAGAAGCTGACCTCATTATGCCTATGTTCTTGCAGGAGCTTCTGAAGAAAACATCAGGGGCTTGTTTCAGAAGGCCTATCGGACTGCTCCCTCGATTGTATTTATTGATGAGATAGATGCAATTGCATCCAAGAGGGAGAATCTGCAACGAGAGATGGAACGGCGTATAGTTACTCAATTAATGACGTGCATGGATCAATTCCACCAGAATATTGGATCGGGCAGTGGCAATTTGGATGCTGAGTCATCTGAAAAGAAACCTGGTTATGTTATTGTCATTGGAGCCACAAATAGGCCTGATGCTGTGGATCAAGCTCTCACGAAGGCCAGGAAGGTTTGACCGAGAGATATCTCTTGGTGTTCCAGATGAGAATGCACGAAAACAAATACTGAAGATGCTTACTCAGCAGCTTCGACTTGAAGGCGAATTTGACTTGTTCAAGATAGCTAGGGCGACACCAGGTTTTGTTGGTGCTGACTTGAAGGCATTAGTGGATAAAGCAGGGAATCTAGCAATGAAGAGAATAATTGATGAAAGAAGAGTTCAATATCGCCGTGAGCATGATGGGAATAGCAAGCATGACTGGTGGAGACAACCCTGGGATGAAAGTGAGGTGGAGGGCCTACATATTACTATGGATGATTTTGAGGCAAGCTTTGCACCTTTTCTATGAACAGCACATGTCCAATAACTCTGTTAATTTCATCCAGTGTAAGCTAGATTTGGATTATGCCTTGATCCATTTTTCCCAAAAACCTTTTATCTTCTTATTTTGTTAATTTTAGGACATGTCTTTCCCCAGTAACCTTTGTATTTTCACTTTTAATTTAGATTTAATGTCATCTAAGCTGCTACAATTTGCAACATGATCGATTTATTTTCTTTTCATGCCACCTCTGTATATCATGGCCATGCCTTTCCCTCTAGTTCTATTCTGTTGTTATATTTTTATCAGATCCATGGACTATTATTTTTAATAATCTTCTCTTCACTATCTGAAGGAAGCAACAAAAATGGTTCAGCCATCTTTGAGAAGAGAAGGGTTTTCTTCTGTCCCTGATGTTACATGGGATGATGTTGGAGGTCTTGATTCATTAAGAAAAGAGTTTGACCGCTGTATTATTCGTTGTATCAAGCACCCTGAAGACTATGAGGTGAATGCTGAATTGAATTTACTGCCTCAGAAGTTTATTTTACAATTCTTATTTCTGTATCATGTCTAGTCATCAACTTTGTTATACCGTAGAAGTTGAGAGAACTTGATTATTTCTCAATAAGTTCATTCACAGCCATACTGTTTATTTATTTTTTCAATAACTGTTAACCTTTTGTATTTACATTTGAGTATTGTTTTCATGCCCTCTTTGTTTCGTGTCTTTCAAGGTGTTTGGAGTGAATATGCAAGCTGGCTTCCTGTTGTTTGGACCTCCTGGTTGTGGAAAAACACTAATAGCAAAAGCAGTGGCACATGAGGCAGGGGCTAATTTTATTCACATCAAGGTAGTTGATGCTTACATATTTTCACATCAGCTTTTGAATGCCATACAAAGTAGTTCTAAGCTTTTTCTTTATCTGGTTCATTAGGGGCCTGAGCTATTGAACAAGTATGTTGGGGAGAGTGAATCGGAAGTTAGGAAAATATTCACTCGTGCACGGACTAACTCCCCATGCATCCTATTTTTCGATGAGGTAAGAAATCGCATGCAGCCTGCCCTGTAATACATTATGTTGAGGAAAACCTGTATCGATTGCTTTTGCTTCAAACAAGTTTGGGATGTTTGATGCATTTATTGTACTTAGTAACAAAGCAACGTGGTTTGGAGAACTGTATCTCTTGGTATGGTGTTCAAGTTCTTATTCCATATGATGTGGCAGGTTGATGCTTTGACAACAAAGAGAGGGAAAGAGGGAGGATGGGTTGTTGAACGTCTCTTAAATCAGGTTTGAGTATTGTACTAGTTTGTGCACTTCTTCATTCCTTTGCATTGCTTTTCTGTTCTGTGTTATTCATATTCTTCTGTTCGCAGTTGCTTATCGAACTTGATGGTGCTGATCAAAGACAAGGTGTCTATGTGATAGGAGCTACAAACAGGTAATTGTCAGCAGCGGACTGGTCTACCATTTTACATCTTTATCCCTGAATATATTATTGATACCTGCAGCCCCTTTCTGGTGTAGGATTGATGTGATAGATGATGCTGTTTTACGGCCTGGTAGATTTGGAAAGAAACATTATGTACCTTTACCTGGTGCCGACGAGCGGGTTTCAATATTAAAAGCACATGCTCGTAGCAAGCCTGTCTCGGCTGATGTTGATTTGGATGCACTTGCACGTCGTGCTGAATGCAACAATCTCACTGGTGCTGACCTAGCATCACTGGTAATATTTGTGATATTCCATTGAACAGTTGTTCTTTATGTTGCCCAAATGGAGCACTAGTGCTTCAGTTTGCACAATGAATTCAATCTAGCTTAGGCGAAAAGATATCTGTATCAAACTAATGTGCTTCTTTCATCAGGTCAATGAAGCAGCCATGGCAGCATTGGAAGAGAGATTGGAATTCCTTGAGAACGGGACATCCTCAATGAGTTCGTCTTGTTTGATTGAGATCTCGCACTTTGAACGCGCTCTATCGAAGATTAAGCCATCAGTATCTGAACAGGTATAGGCAAATGCTAGAATGACTTCCTGATGTCAGTGCTAATTTTTCAGCTCGCCGTTGTGCTTCTGTCTCGCCTATTTCTCCCTTTGACCTTGTTCTCTTTTGCTGCAGCAAATCAAACATTACGAGGCGTTGTCAAAGAGATACTCGTCAAACTGATCTATCACCATGTCTCCATCTTGGTGTGTATATACCATGTTTGCAAGGCGTGCACCGTCACCAGCGTACCCATTTCTGAAGTGCATAATCTCGTGTGAGCTCTTGCGGGAGAATAGATATAGAATCCTCCTACATTTCTTTTTCTCGCAATCAGTTTTGTGGAAAATGTATTGTCTGTATTTTTAGCCATGGAACAGTGTTTTCCTATCACAACATTTCAGCCTAAGCCAAATCTCAGCATAAGTGAACAGGGTGCACCGTCACCAGCTTACCATTTCTGAAGTGCTTAATCTCGTGTGAGCTCTTGCTTATAGATATAGAATTCTGTATTTTCTCGCAATCAGTTTTGTTTTCACTTAGCAATTTTGAATGACCTCATCAAGATACATCATCCACGAATGAGTTCTAATTCAATTCAATCATGCGTGAATGAAAGTGAAATATGGCAAGAAATTGTTTTTCGCTACTAGTGCACTTGTCCCTCAGCTACATTTGTGTATGAGTTCCATTGGCCTCAGCAGCAGCTTCAGGCTTGGCGGTGTCCAGTTTGTCCAATGCCGCCCAGAGCTTGGGATCTTCGTAGTGCCTGATAACGAGCGTGGCGCCGACGGCGAGAAGTTTGCTCTCCCGGCTCTCCTCGGCGATGGCAACCACGGGCATCCCTGCCGCAACGCCTGCCTGCACGCCAGTGGTGGAGTCCTCAAACACGATGGCGTGCTCCGGCGAGACGCCGAGCAGGTCGAGCGCCCTGAGGTACGGGTCCGGGAAAGGCTTGAATCGCTCGCACTCCTCGGCGGTGACGACGAGCTGGAAGAAGTCGGAGAGTCCGAGGATGGAGATCATGAGCTCGGCGTTGGCCCTGGGCGCGTTGGTGACGGCGGCGCGCTTGAGCCCGCGGTCGGCGGCCCAGCGGCAGAGCGGCGTGAGGCCGGCGATCTCCCGGAGCCCCTCGCCGGCGTACCTGGCGAAGAGCGCCTCTTTCTCGGCGAAGAAGGCGTCAAGCCGCGCCTGGTCCCAGTCCGGGAACAGGAAGCGGCCAATCTGCTGGTTGCTCCGGCCGGCCATGTGCGCCATGCCGAACTCCTGCGTGATGGGGACGCCGTTGTTGTAGCCCACCTTGAGGAGCATCTCCGAGGTGGCCCTGTGGTGGAACGGGTCGGAGATGGCCATGGTGCCGTCGATGTCAAAGAGGACGGCTTCCAGGGGAGCCACTCTGCCGATCCCACTGCAACCACACACAGAGACAGAAGAGATCAACTGGGATGGCCATGGTTGCAGAGAACTTGGTTGGATTGAAATGAAATCTTGACAGTCTGTCTCTGGGGGGAATGGAACTGAATGAAATCATGCGGAAAATACTCTAGATGATGATGGTTGTGGGCAGGGTTACCTTTCCATGGCCGGTTGCTGCTGGATGCCAAACTGGGGCTTCTTTTGATCTTGTGGTCACTGCTGGAAGTGCTGATGCTGCCTGGACATTTTATAAGGAGAAGACTGAAGACTGGAGAGGGAAGGTTGGTTGGTGAGGATTCGGTCGTTCAATTGGCGCGGTTGGTGGCTGCAAGTCCTCATCTCATGTTCCACACCTTTTTCTTCCTTTTGACCAGTGGCTGCCTTTCCAAACGGCGTTCAAATTTTTTGTTATTTTTTGGACTCTCTAACTCAAGTTTACGAGCCCATATCAAAATGCTGCATAGCCACATAAAGGCAGAAACCACTTTCAACACGGTTTCCGTAGCCACAGCTAGAGTTCAAAATGAAAACAATGATGAATTTGACAAACAATCAGCATGGTGGGTTTCAACACATTTTCCCGTTGGGAGGGAGTTTCCATCTCATCTTTCTTTCAGATTAAAGACTACTCAAAGACTGCTGAAGCAACAAGTCAATATACAGAGATGGTACGCAACAAGGCGCAACAGCTTTGTTATTGTCACAGAGCGAGTCCCATACTCGCATCCACCAAACAATCGTAACCGCTGGCAGAAGATTCCCGAGTTCTTATTTGGTCTCAGTTTCATCAAGAAGAAAGAAATAATATACCAAACTAGAGTCTCAAAAATACCCTGATGAGCTCTCTCTGTGGTTACTCGCAGTCACAGCTGCAACATAACTAGGACCAGAAATGTGTTCTAGCCAAATTTGATTGGCGATAAATCTAGTTAATGAATTGTTCATCATCATATCATATCATGCGCTGCCCTTCTTCAGCTTAGCTTCCTCTCTGTCGATCTCTTCAAGCGCTGCCCAGAGCTTAGGATCTTCATAATCCTTGATGAGCAACGCGGCTCCTGCTTCCAGCAAGGAGTTCTCTGGGTTCCTTGTCGCTAAACCAACGACAGGCATTCCTGCTGCGACCCCTGCCCGTATACCAGAAGGAGAATCCTACACCAACCAAAATCTCTCATCAGTGACTACTACTATTTTTTTTATGGTCGACAGAGGGGGAGAGAATCCCCCACCTGGATATTATATCAGACCACAAAATTCCAGTCATAAAGCTGTGTTTGGTTTACCTCAAAGATGAAGGTGTGCTCTGCAGACACCCCAAGCTCCCTGAGAGCCTTGAGGTAAGGGTACGGCGCAGGCTTTGGCTGCTCACATTCACCTCCGATGATAACAGCCTGGAAGAAGTCTGAGAGGCCCAGAAGGGAGATCATGAGCTCCGCGTTGATCCTTGGGGCGTTGGTTACTGCTGCGCGCTTGTACCCGTGGTCTTTGACCCATTGGACCACTTTCCCGAGGCCCTTTACAGGCACCAAGCGCTCTTTTGCCAAACTGAAACAAGGGAACAGCTAGAAACATTCACTCTATCGTGTTATTGTAATGACTAATGAACCTATCAGTTCTCTGATGTAATGCAATGATTATTAAAGGATCACATTCAGCAGCAAACGGGTGCTGTAAGAAATGACAAAACCCTCAACAACCTAGTGTAGTACCAAATGCTGGCATCGCTCTGTGAGTAGCAAATGGATGTTTTTCACGTGACATGGCTCAATTCGATGTTTTTATGTGCTACATATATGGTACACGAACGAGCTGCTGCTGTAATAATGGATAACACTCTGATTCTCTGAATCATTTAGTTATCTTTTTGCGAGGACATTCAGTTATCTTGATGATACTGAGGAAATCACAAGTATGTACCTTCTGTATTTAGCTTCCTTGTCATCCAGGAATTTGAGCCCCTTCTCAAGGGGCCAATCCGGGAACAGGTTCTGGGCAGCTTCGACGTCACTCCTCCCAGCGATATTCTTGATGAAGAACTCGTCATCTATCGGCACACCGTTGTTGTACCCGATCTGCGTATGCCAGCCATTTGGTGAATCAAATCAAATCACATCACATCACATCACAGCTTTGTTGGTTAAAGAAAGTAAGAAACATAGACGAAAGAAGTGTGTAGGAAATCCATCCATTCCACCGTACCTCGAGAAGCAGCTCTTGGAAAGCGAGATGGTGGAGGGGATCCGAGTCGCACAGCGTCCCGTCGATGTCGAACAGAACCGCCTGGACGGGAACAGTTGTCGCGAGGGAGCTGCAGACCATGCCCAGCATTTGAATCATCAGATGTTCAGGAACTTGGAACAAGTGTGTGTGTGTGTGATAAATCTGACGCTGCAAGTTGCTAACTTGCATCGCTCGATGGTAGTCACTAGTCACGCAACACGACGGTTTCAGAAGAAGAGCAGAAACAGCATGTAATGATGTTCACACGAACGGCAGTATTTTATATTGACCAACCACGCACAGACTTTGAACGAGTGGTTGGTAAATCTGAAACTGTAGCGAACTAACGTTAATTGGATGGCGTTGTGTTCACCGTTGACAAAGAAAAGAAAATGAATGAGCTTTTGATACCCAACACAGATCGCCGTTGTGTCCTTTACAGAGTGTCAGAGTAATAACAACAAACAAGAGCATTAATTAGGTTTAATAGATTCACCGCATGACGAAGCAAAACACGCGGATTGATGGCGAGAAGAATCTAGCTAGCGATGCCGTTGTTGTTGGGAAAAAAAGAAGAAAAAAAAAAGCAACAGCAAAGGAAATTAAAAGGAAGGGGAGGGAGCCCGACCTGACAGTGGGATTGCCATTGGGGGCGGGAGCGGCCATGGGCGATCGAAGCGGACAGGGGCTGGGGAAGAGGACCGGCCGGCGGGCGGGGGCGAGAGAGACGAGCAGCCCAGAGAAGCCTCTCTGGATCGATGGAGGAGGCAGCCGCGCCGATGGCCGATGGCCGATGCGATGGGTTTCGCGAATCTGCCGGCGTCCGCGTGCGGGACTCCCGTGGCGCGAGCTTATTATACACAGACTGGCCTTTTTTTCTCTCCGATCCAGGGAATTTTGGATCTCTCTTGGTGTCCCCCTGTTTTTTGCGGTGTGGCCCGGCCCGGCCGCTTCGCCTCGTTTCGTCTCGCCTTGGTTTCCTGCCTTTGGGCCCCACCCCACGGTGACACTTGTCCATCCTTCTGCCGCAAATCAGCTGACCCATGCCCATCCTTCTGTTGCAAATCATCAGCTGAAACTTGTCGTTCCTTTTTCTTCTTGTTCTGTTTTGTTCATAAATACTGTTCTAAAATAGATCAAATTTCCAGTTGTCATAGGTCAAGTTTGATTAAATTTATAGAAAAAAATATCGATATCTATACATGAAATTAGTATCACTAAATACATTATGAAATATGTTTCCATAATCCACTTACTTTATGTCATAGGCTCATAGCTGATGTTATTCTTCGCTATAAAGATAGTCCAGCTCAACATAACATGACTTAGCGTGATTCTAAGAGTTACTCTAATTTATTTTATGACGAAGTAAGTATAATGTAGGCTCCGTTCAGTGCTGATCCCTGCAGCTGCAGAAGCAGTACCTCTCAAGCATAGTTTTTTTTTTTTTCCATTGTAGTGAGACTTACGACAACAGCAGCAACGGCTACCGATCAAGCTCATAAATATACTACAAACCGAGTGTTTCTTCAAACAAACTAATGGGA